GGTCGGCCCGCCCGCTGGCCCGCTACCGGGCCCGGTACCAGGATACCCGGCGTGCAGCGAGCCACCGTGCGGCGAGCCGTACACCAGTTGCCTTACTTTCTGCTCGTCGTCGGCGATGTTGTACGTCAGCTCGGTCTCCTCGAACCCGGTCGCCGACATCCTCTGGTCGCCCGACGAACCCGACGGCGGTGGATCCGGACTGTTCAGACACGTCTGGATCAGCGCCTTCCCGGCATCGCTCGTGATCATTGGTTGCAGTTTGCGCGTCGCGAACGTGTACACGTGCCCGGTCTCGCTCGCCACCAGTAACATCACTTGCGTACCGGTCAGCGTCGACAGCTCGTACGCCTGCAAATACGACGTCGACAATTCTATTAGTTTATTCTACGACCAAACGGATTTATTTACTTTACGTTCAGATATTTTCTGTTGTTACTTATTCGTAGAACCCGCTCATTCGGGTTCTCTCTTCTCCATAAAAGATTAGAGATTCTCAAGTGAGAGATTAAACATCGTTTAGACGACTTCTGATTGAATCGTTATATTTTTTAGAATCTATACTTAAGATAGAATGAGATGCGTGGATATTTTATTCTATCTTAAAGAGGTTTTCAAAAATATAACGGATATCAAATGGATGATGTCCAATTCATTATTTGAAGATTTCTATAATTAAGGACTAGAAAAGACACAAGGGTATTTATCTTACTAATGTATTGTAAATATGATCTGCTGTTATGATAATTACTTTGTTGCGTGAGATATTCTTTTTGCGTGGCACATTTTACTATCATTACGATAAACTGTTGTAATGTTTCATGCTGATATTTGGCTCACGAAATATTAGAATATATTTTCCTTAATTTTTAAATATTGATGATGCCAATATCAACGTAAAACATCCAATGTAAAAAATAACTTTGAGAAATGCAATATGAACGCAAGTAACAAAAATGTAATCATATTGCATGTCATTTAGATGACATTGCATGATGATCAGATAAATTTTTTTAAAGTAATACGATACATATATATATCCTATAAAGCGTAAATACATCTACATACGTGATTTTGCAACGCTGATATCAAGTATAAATACCTATATATGTTTATAAGAATCAAATCGGTTAATGATTTTTAAATACATTTTTTTAATGTATCATGAAGAGCAGAGGAAGAGAATATTGCTAATTTTTTTATATGACTATGTCTTTTCCAAACAGTTATTTAAATTTTGGTAAGAATTCTGACATCTTTACGCCAGCAATTTCCATCATAAAGCATGATACTATCAGTTTAACAAGTGACGAATTTAAATTGCTCGTAACATTATAATCAGTATTGTAATTAAATTTCAAGGATGTGGCGAATATAAAATCATCACTAACGTGTCGAGTACATGGCGTAATGCGTATATCTGTATTTATGTAAGCAACAACGTGCCTATTATTTTCTTTTAAAACATTTTAAACGAAATGTGTGAAAGCTGAAATTAAAATTTATTTATCGAAAGGATAAGTCGTTTAACGTTTTCTTTGTTAAAATACAATTCAGATAATTTCTAAAACAATTAAAAATGCGTATACACGTTTTGACATGGATACCTAATTAAAATCTAAAAGTTAAATAAAAAGTAGTACTTGATCAATTTTAGATGGTTACTCATCGTTTTTTATGTATGCACCTCATTAATTATGCATGTTCTTTGTAAATACAGTTCCAATCGCGTGTCTTTAATTAAACATGAGATCATAAATTTAATCATTTCCAAAACGATGTAAATCAATTTAATTCAAAATTCTTGACCAAACACATACAATATAATTTTACATATTTTAGCGTTTCTGTTGACATTATCTCGACGTTTTTAATTTTATTTATAATACAATTCTTTTACATACAATATATTCTATCTTTAACATATATTCTTCATAATGTAATTTATTTTTTAATCGGCAACTTAACATCTCATTAAAAATAATCAAAATAAAGAATGTAAAATTGTTTCTTCAAGCATTTTTTAATGCAAATTATGTCATTAATAAATCGATAAATTAACATATGTAATTTCAATACATCCTAATTATGTATGAACGATCTCTAGATTACACAAATATAAAAATATTAAATAGTTTCACAATTTATTGTATCACGCTTATGACAAGTTTCTTTTTACTAAAGAAAGAGATATTTGTTTAAAATAGTAAAGAACATAAATTCAAATAATAAGGATAAAATAACAAATTGGAAGGCGAGGGAAAAAGAGAGAACGCAGTTCAGAATTAATAGTCGCCTTTCTGTACAAACAGCTAATTTTATTTAAATCTATTCACTCGAAAAATAGATATGCTACACAAAGAAAAAGAGAGAGAGAGAGAGAGAGAGAAAAGAGGTTAATCTAAAAAAAATTTTTTTTTTAAGGAACAGCACTCCGCGATCTCAACTTTTTATGTTTATAATTTTTCAAGCCATTCAGATATCTTCGAACGATGTTATTATCTGAAATGTTTAGTGATTAATTTAATAACAAATTTAGTAACAATTTAATAATAATGTATTTAATTATTATTCTAATCATAACACATAAAATTAAACAATTTTAAAACACGGTGATTGACATTTCTTTATGATTCGTGCGCCTATAAAATATATTTACCTACTTTTTAATTTGAGTAAAAAAATAGGAACAATCTTCATTATTTGTACACACATTGATTTTAACAACGATCAATGGTAATTCGAGCTAAATTAATATTTGATTTTAAATAACAAAACGTTAGTAAAAGAAAATTATATTATTAAAGTGTAGGAAAATATAGTTTAATTGTATTAAATCGTAGAAAAGTATATTTGGGACAATAGTTGACGAAGAGATACAAAAAAAATATTAAAAAATTTGTCAAGATAATACAACAGAAAAGGAAAAAGACATATTTTATCGAGATATGACAAAAATAAAAATAGTCCTAATAATTATTTAAAAATTTATACGATTGCTACAATTTTGGGACCAACCAAAATTTAATTCTCACTCGCGAGAACTTTACGTAAGAACGCTGATGGAAAGATATTTTTTTTAAACGAAGTAAAATTTTGGCATTATAAACTAATATAAACATTTAGAAAATTTAAATTATATGAAACGCGCCCAGATATCAATATTATAGAAATACATAAAAATCTCTGTATTTACTTTTAACTATAGAAATTCACGATAGATTAACTTTACCGGTTTTTTTTACTTGTACTTATCTATATTCATTTATCCGGTTATTTATCGGTAAAAACAGCAATTTCGCCAATTCGAGATACAGTGACAAGATTTTGGCAGTGCAGTCTCGAATGAGATTCAAACGTGTTGTCCTCCTCGTGTCTCTAAAAAGAAAACGAAGGAATTGGGAGAGATTTGTTCTCCACTCTTGGGAGAGATTTGAATTACAGTCTCCGACAGAGAGCGGTACACACAAAAAAGTAAATCGCAATGAACGCTAACTGGCAGCTTCAAGTGCAAGCGCGAGCGCGAGTACTGTCACTCGCGGAGCGCGCACGCGCTGGAGCTCTCCGCGCGCAGCATCCCGACTCCCGTCCCGTCGCTGTCGTCGCGACAATCGGAGAGAAAACGCACGTGAGACATCGTACTCGGTTGGCGTACTCCGATTGCTCCGAGTCTCGTCGACGTGTGGGTAGGTACTATTTTCACAGAGTTTGACGCGCGCGCATACACACATACACGCACATGCACATTCTCTTTTTGTTTTCTCTTTCTCTCCCTCTCTCGGAGCACTTGACGTGCTCAAGAGGCGAGAGAGGTAGGTAGACGACGACGACGCTGTGTCGAGTCACGGCGCCCTTCGCGCTGTTCGTAACACGGTAACAGAGACAGAGACTGACAGGGACTGACAGAGAGACTAGAGAGAGCGGGAAGCCGGTACTCGGCCGTGCAATTACATCAGTGATCAGGTTTGCGCGTCGTACACGCGATACAAACCTTCTTCATAATGCCAGTCTTCCTCTTGGAGAACGTGGTGTATCTCCGTAGTTTATTGTCGATGTACTCCATCTTAATTTTCACCCGGCCCTTAGTCTTCTTGCCGTTCGAGGGGGGTGACTTCTTCGGCTGGCCTAGACTGGTGAAGGACTCGTCGAGATTGTCGGGGACGCAGTCGCCGGGCATGCCGCCGGCGGGCATGCCCTGCGAGAGCGATTGCTGCCGTGGGTTATTACCGTCGTCGCCGTAGCAGACGTCGGAGATGCTGCGCTTGATGC